GATGTGCAAATACGAGTCATTAGAGCAATGGGAAGGCTGTAGGGAAGGAGATACTTGGGCATCTTCATTTCCACTTGGAGGAAGTGTAAAAACCTATAAATCCTTTATTCAAGAGTCACAGCGTCCACTTTACCTCTGCTCAAAGCGCTGAAACCCTGTTGGTGGAAAATTCGGGGCCACTCTTTCTACTCTGCCAGTGTGCTGATTGGAGTGCAACAGGATAAATTAGATAAGTGTTCTCTCTTTCCTCAAAGATACACATAAGCCAACCATCCTTGGGCAGCGGTGAAAGCAGAGACACATTTCACTTGAAAGTGAACGGAAGTAAAAAAAAGGCATCATTAGGATCCTGATTTTGGGGTGAATGTGTGGCAGTTTAGGGACACAGTAAGTTTATCAGGAGCTGTGTTGGATGAGACTGATCACTTAAGGCGTGCAAGGATGCCCCCAAATGAGGTTGATGTCTTGCAGTCTTCTTGCTAGGACACGATTATATTTTCAGTGTTTTTCATCAATCTTACAATGTACTGAGATCAAATAACTGGGTTTTTTTTTTCCATTAATTTCCAAAGTAACATTTAAATTGTAGGAGTTAGTTAGAAACCCCTGAGGACACCTTGTATTTCCACTGCCATCTGTGACCAGCATGTGAATGTCTGGTTGTAGAGCAGATAGGTGTTCACACCTGGCAAACCTTCAGTGATTTCATGTGAGATCCAGTCACATGAAATGTGTCCAGTCACATGAAACACTTTCATGCCAAAAACAAGCGGGACATCTGTTCTTTATAAATCATCATTGCCTGCTGTGATGAAGAACTTTTAATGAACTGTGATTTCTGCACCTGCTGAACTAAACCTTTAGTAGCATGACTTTATTTTCACTCTAATGCAGTTTTGGGGAGGGATGGGTGTTATATTGATCTCTGGATTTTGTAGTTGACTTTTCAAGTCCTCTGCCCTCCTGTGTCTGATTTGGAAGAGAACAGACTCCAGACTGGCAGAATACTGTGGTGTGCCCATAGCCACATTTTCATGAATTCATGTGGTTAGAAAATAACCACATGAATCAGCATTAATATACTTATAAATAGCTGTGTTTCCTTTGACCAATGTTGATCTGTAATAATAAATAAGAGATGTAACAGAGCAGCCTAGAATGACACACTGCAGTTTGGATTGGGTATTTACATAAAAAATATTTACATTTTAGAATCATGGAATGGTTTGGGTTGGAAGGGAACTGAAAGATCATCTCTTTCCAACTCTCCTGCCATGGGCAGCAACACCTTCCACTAGACCAAGTTGCTCCAAGCCCTGTCCAACCTCAACACTTCCAGGGATGGGGCAGCCAGAGCTCCTCTGGGCAACAGCTTAATGGTGGCAGAAGGTTCTCAAATGAAGTTTCTAAGCCAGGTTTGGGTCACCTGTGATCACTAAAGCTGGGTAGTGTTACTGCAATGTGATGCCAAAGCTTTCACGTGAAGTTGAGGGCTGTGACACTTCTTCACTGGGCAACCTGTGCCAACGCCTCCCCCCCCACTCACAGGCAGGAATTTCAGGCACCAAAAATAGGCAAAAATCAGAGACGTCAGCATGCTGTGAGAGAGATGTGCATGGGTTGGTCAACTGGGAGATCACTTCTGAAGTGTGTCCTTAAGTAATACATTTGCCTCAGTCATCGTGTTTTTGTCTACTGTGATCATTACCCACGTGATTTGGTTTGCAAATGCCTATTACTTCCACGTCTCCTCCCCTACCATCATTTTTGACAGTTGGACTCCTCTTCCTGTGGTGTGCCAATATCCTGGGATATGCACTTCCCACGTTTGCGGTGATTAAATGCTACTTCTTCCCTGCCAACGCCAAAGTGACTTCGAGTAACGAGAGAATGCTAGTTATTAAACAGCTAAATGAAAACTGGGCATGTAAACTGAACGACTGGTGTAAAATACATAAGCTAGTATCTGACTGTAGTT